TACATGCCTTCCCTCCTTATTCTTTCCTAGTTTCTACGTCATACCCATAAAAATATTACTATAATGTTAAAGTAATGAATAATAAACTGATTGAAAGTTTATTAAATAATTAGTTAAAGTTATAAATTGTATTGAAGTATTCTATAAATGTCGTTTTCCATAACAAATATTTGGATACTATTCAATATTTATGTTATGGAATCTGATTATCTGAGCCAATTCCTTCCATAAACTATATTTATTACTAAAAATTGATCGGTTTCCTCATATTTTAGATCGGTTTCTTCATATTTTAGGTCCCTTTCTTCATATTTTAGATTCGTTTCCGCTTTTTTCAAAAACTTTAAGAATCTCAATTTGATGTTCGGTTTCCTTAAATTTTAGGTCTGTTTCCTCATATTTTAGATTCGTTTCCGATTTTCTAAAATACTTTTTTAAAAGAGATTTTTTTGTCCCCAGGTTGTAATCTAGCAGCACATTCATTCATCCACGCTTCATTCATACTGAGAACAGGGTTGACAAGATTCCACATTAAACCTAATTCGTACTAATGCAACAAATTTTAGTGGAAATGAACAAAAAGATTTTCAATCGAACTAAAATTTAAAATTTCACCATTTTGCCCATAAATTATAATTAATAGTGTAATAGAACTTATTTTAGAACCAATGAACAAAAAAATGTTTATTAAAACTAAAATCTAAAACTTCACCATTTTGCACATTTACCATAATTGTTACAAATAACATATTTTAGTGTAAATGAACCAAAAATGTTTAATCGAACTAAAATTTAAAAGTACAATAAAAAACATTTGTCCGTTTGAACAAATTTTTTTGCCAGCTATGTTTATTTGGTATATTGTACTAATATTTAATGTAAACATTTGTCCATTTATACAAATCTTTTGTTGGAAAGGAAATGATCATTTGCACTTATTGTGCAATTGCTTAATATATTCGTCTGCAAACAGAAGGATCCACATATTGCTTTCGAACCTCGAGGTTAAGGAAGCAATGCCGCAAATCAAATTGAAACAGAACAGTCCGAACTTTGATTGTCAAAATTAGAAAGAAAAAATATTACGAAAATGATAAGGATACTATAGATGGAATACCGTGCTTAAATTATCGAATTATTCCCGTTCTAAGTAGAAATTGACGATCATAAATGGAACATCATTCACGGAAGACTGTTTGGAGGAGGTTCGGAAACCCTATGGGGACCGCAATATCGAAAATAGGTAAAATGAGGTTCGGAAGCTGTGCGGGGGAGGTTGCCTGCCCGCCCTCGTTCGTTCAAAGATTACAGATTAGGGTTACATAATTTATTTATGATAAAAAATATCTTTTAGGGGATAAGATTCAAGATAATTTTTGGATTATAAAGAGTGAGAAAGATAAAGTATAAGATAAAAAGGTCAAATGGTTTCAGGATTATGATGTATTAACTGAAACCATATTTTTAGGACATAATTAAAATATGTGTAGACTGTTAAACAATTTTACTTTTCTAACTAACACATGCCCTAACTTAAGATAAAAACTGAAAGCCTTATTTTACTTATACCTGCAGACTAATTCTATATTCTATAGTTCTTTGTAAAGCCTCGAACAAAAGAAAGCAGATTGCACAGCTTTTGCGATGAAATTTTGAATAGGTTTTTGCAAAAACGCCTTTACAGGGAATTTGCACATTATCAGTTTTCCATGAATTCAGGCCAAAATTCTCGAAAAAGTTTTTCTATCTTCAAAGAATATGAATGTAACATTAATTTTGGAAAGAAAAAATGAAAAAATGTATCCGTAAACTAAAGGATTTTTCTTAACTTTTTGTTTTATTTCCTTTTTGTGATACATATCTATCATTTGAAAATTTTTGGAAAGCCCTTGGGATCTGCTATAATAATATGCAAAAAATGTGCAAATTTTATAAAAATTCAAATGCAAAATCAAGTTATTTAGCAAAACTGTGCAAAAACTATTTTGGGTAAAGGAGACGTCAGCCGGAATAAGATTAACTGAAGTGCGTGGCGTTTGTAACATTTTTTATTGCGACATCTCCGCAAAGGTTACTGTTTGATATTTGATATTAAAACACACATATGTAGAATTACACACCAACCCCTCCATACATACAACCTAGAAACAATTTAAGACAGCATCTCCATACTGGAACCAGAATGATCTAAACCACATGATCTGTATATCCTGGTGAACTCTAATTCCCCGTGGATTTGCTCCGAACCTGAGACAAAGTGTGGGAAAAGTGTCTACAATCTTCAGATTCTTCAGGATCCATAAACAGCTCCGGGATATAGTTATACCACGACATCCAACCCATCCAGTACAAGAATGTATTGTAGGGGAGATATGTCTTTCATTTCGTTTGCACCTTTAACGGTATCATTCTCTCATGATATACCGTTAAAAATACAATACAATTCAATTTATTTAAAATGTTTATCTAACTTTCCCCGGCACAGTCAATACGAAACTGTGATCTAATACCTCCCATACCTTCAATATACCTAACAAAACAATTTGTTGACAAGTTTGATCAATAAATATATCTTAAGAAATGTAAATATATGTATCAAACTTGGGGTCACAAGTTAAAACGCACCACCTCTCGCATGAGTTTTTGGAAAAGTATACATCCCTGCAATTACTTTGTTCCTGTAAAACAATAAAAAGTTTATTAAAATGAACCCTGGGGGGCTTTCATGTTATCGAGTGCACTTTTTGATTCAAATAGTAAATAAATGCCTGGCAGCCATTTTTAATTTTCCCACAGGAAATTCCAACCAAAGCAGAGCAGCTGTAAACCCTGAATCTCAGACAGTTACATTGTAGCAAATACTTACTCCATAATAATTTACTCTAGACGTATCTATCAAGGTCTACTCGTTACCAAGATCAACCAGGACTAATTCTCCGATTCTAATTGCCACACAGGCAATATCTCAACCAGGCTTAACTCCCCGGTTCTAAAGGACACACATGTCCAAATCTAAACCAGGCTGCTCAACTCCCTAGTTCTAAAAGCTACACAGGCAATTGAAATGGCTACACAGGAGATTTCTCAACCAGGCTCAACTCACCGGTTCTAAAGGACACACATGTCCAAATCTTAGCTCGTATAATTCAACGAGGACCTAAGCTATCTTTCAAGCTATATATCGATTTAATGCTAAATCAACTAGCAAAGATCTCCCCTCGTAATGTTTCGACCAAAGCTTTGTTTCAAGCTTACTTATGCTTCTGATAACGTAATTAAAAGCCGAGTCTCAATTAACTAACTTTATTCAATAGCTTTTATCGTACTGCAAGTTTACAGAATATCTTTACACACTTTTTGCTACAACATTACCCAGACATTAAAGTCAAAAAGACAATACATGCTTAAACAGAGAGTTATTATTATTAATATCAATATTAATAATAATAATACACATGATCATAATTCTGGAAATAGTAATTAAAACAATAATTATAATAATGATAACAATGATAAGGAGAATAAAAAAAATATCCTATAACTTGACAAAATTTTTACATTATTTGACAAATACTTATATAATAATTACATTTTACATTTTATAAAAATGGATTGCTAAGTTTTCCGAAAAAAATATTTTTAAAAACATTAAGTCTGAGGGAATCTTTGCAATATTGGGTAATATGTAATTATGATCCTCCGCACCCTGTTCAGTGTACAATGTTTTTAAATATTGTAAGAAATATTATTACAAGCTTAATCTTATTTAACCCTGTTAAGGAATTTTTATAGCGTGAATACAATTACTTTAGAAACTCTATATAAGCACAAAGAGGTTGTAATAATGGTAATAAATGTAATATTTGCCCTTTAGCATTAACATCCTCTTTCATCCTTTCTTCTCACACACTTAGCGCTCTACCTATCTCTTCTCCATCCACCCTCCCACCTCTACCCTTTTTCCATCCATGTTCCTTACTAATTTCCTTCATGAAACTTTCTGTTCCAACCGCACTTCTTCATGTGTATGTATGAACAATCCGTCCTTCTTCTTTATTCAACTCCCATCCCGTCAATCTACCCTCTATCATATACTCTTTCTTCTCTTTGATATCCTCCATCCTGGCCTCTACTCTGCCCCTCCTCCCATCTCCATCCTTTTCCAACCTTTCTCCCCAATCACTATGTCTACCTGACTCTTCTATTTTCTCCTTTCATTTCCCATAAATCTAGATATCTCCCTTCCTCCCATCTCATTCTCTTTTTTCCCCCCTAATATCTCCCCCTTTCTCTTCATTCTCCTTTCTCCTTAGCTCAACTATCTCCTCTTCCCTGCCGCCTCATTCTAATCCCATATTTTAATTACCCTCTGCACCTCCTGCAAACTCCTCTCCCTTTCTTTTTCCTAACACCTCCTATACCCTCACCCCTCCTATCTCTCCTACCCTAAAATCATGCTAAAATATCNCCCCCAACATCTCCTTACCCTTTCTATCACCTCTCCCCTGGATCTCCTCTCCCTCCCATCTTCCCATCATCTTATATCATAAACTAGCATGTAAGCATGGAAACATGTTAAAAGATCGTAAATGGTGGAATTATAGTTGGAAAGTGCCATTATGGTTTCTGTAAAGTGTAGTCTAGACTGGGGCCAGGAATTTTCTTTCCCCAGGGTTTCAGCTTAACGAGACCTCACTACATTATTGCAGGAATAAAGATTTAGGTTGAATAAATATATGTACATATTGTAGCAGGAAAATGATGTTTTGATCTTT